TTTGTATTAAATGGATGAATGCATGACATATGTTTTCAAATATAGTTTTATCACTTCATCATATTCATGGTTAAGTAATACTCCAGTATTTATTTTGATTTTATCACTTAATAAGAAGCAGCCCGATGCACTAAACTCTTGCTATGCGAAAGACTATTGTATGCAGTTTTACCATGGTATGAGATTGTTACCACTTAATCATTACAAAGAATAATACTGTTGTTTGGTTTGCAAGTAACAATAAGCAAACAGTTACTTTATTCTATTATACTTGTCAAAAGAAATATTTTTGCCTATTTGGTATTAAAATGAAAAATAGGCAAGTGAAAATCATCATTTCAATCATGAAGACCGTTGCACTTGATGTTTTGTAGGACAAATTGCTCTGATGAAATGATTCTTGTTTTGACATGCTGTTATCATTTACTCCATTAAAATATAGTAAGAGCAAGCTTTTAATCTCAGAAAGTATACTTGTATCTTGGATATAAAGTAAAAGAGTATTGTGAAGAAGCAACAAGAATTTGGTGGTGGGAGCTACAATCCAATTAGCTTTTCAGCAAAAGCTATGGAATGAAGGTGCGACATAATTAGTGATAAGTTGATTTTAGTAGCTTTAACACTTGAATGTATTATTGTTGTAAGATAAGCTCTTAACCACTTTTTCTTTTTCTTTTTGGAATATATGCCTAATAAGTTTGAAACTAGTGTTTGTACTTATATCCTGTTTGGCCAAAAATATCTTTTTTGTTTATTTGCTCAAAATGCTTCCTCCCCCAAAGTTAAAGTATTTGATCNTTGACTAATCCCAGAAAAATTTGGCCTCTTTTGCCAAAAGGGTGTTCTTTTATTACCAATATTCATCCAAATGTTCTGAGTTCAAAGTTGGATTTTAGGCAATTCAGTACATCTATTTTGCCACGCCCCACTTCCCTATCTACTTTTGGACAAAAGTTGTCATTTAGTAATCCCAGAAAGATTTGGCCTTTTTGGTTAAAAGGGCGTTTTTATTTTAATGGTGTTCATCCAAATGTGAGGTTGAGTTGTAGGGAATTTTGTACTTATGTAGATAATGATGGTGAATTAGAAAGTGATAATGATGTTGAGAGTGAGAGTGATGAGATGGTGGGGTCGAAGGCAGATCCTAAAGAGGTGGATAGGGTGTGTAAGGTTATCGATGAGTTGTTTTCGTTAGATCGAAACATGGAGGCTGTTTTAGATGAATGTGGAATCAATTTGAGCCATGATTTGGTAGTGGATGTGTTGGAGAGGTTCAAGCATGCTAGAAAACCAGCATTCAGATTCTTTTGTTGGGCGGCCCAGAGGCCAGGTTATGCTCACAATTCAAGAACGTATAATGCAATGATGGCAATACTTGGAAAGACGAGGCAGTTTGAGACCATGGTCTCAGTTCTTGAAGAAATGGGGGAGAAAGGTTTGCTTACAATGGAGACCTTTTTGATATCCATGAAAGCATTTGCTGCAGCAAAAGAGCGGAAGAAAGCTATTGGGATTTTTGAGTTGATGAAGAAGTACAAGTTTAAAGTTGGGGTGGAGACTATCAATTGTTTGCTTGATGCCCTGGGAAGGGCAAAGCTTGGGAAAGAAGCACAGTTATTGTTTGAGAAATTGGAGCATAGATTTACACCAAATATACAAACATATACAGTTTTGCTCAATGGTTGGTGTAGGGTAAAGAATCTGATGGATGCCGGTAAAGTATGGAATGAGATGATTGATAAGGGATTTAAGCCTGATATTGTAGCCCATAACACAATGCTGGAGGGGCTGTTTAAGTGTAAAAAAAGGTCTGATGCGATCAAGCTGTTTGAGGTTATGAAAGCCAAGGGTCCATCACCTAATGCAAGAAGTTATACTATCTTGATCAGAGATTTGTGTAAGCAAGGGAAGATGGATGAAGCCATTGACTACTTTGAGGAAATGCTTAGTTCCGGAAGTGAGGCGGATGCTGCAATTTTTACCTGTTTGGTAACAGGCTTTGGAAATCAAAGGAAGATGGATAAAGTCTTTGCATTGCTGAAGGAGATGAAGGAAAAAGGATGCCCACCTGATGCACGACTGTATAATGCGCTGATCAAATTAATGATAAATCGACGAATGCCAGATGATGCAGTTATTTTATATAAAAAGATGATCAGGAATGGAATACAACCAACTATTCACAGCTACAATATGTTGATGAAATCATTCTTCATGACAAAGAACTATGACATGGGTCATGCAACTTGGGAGGAGATGAATCTGAGGGGTTGCTGTCCTGATGAAAATTCTTACACTGTTTTCATTGGAGGGCTTATAGGGCAAGGGCGATCTATGGAGGCTTGTAAATACTTGGAGGAAATGATAGACAAAGGCATGCAAGCACCTCAACTTGACTACAACAAATTCGCGGCTGATTTTTCTCGGGCTGGTAGGCCTGATATACTGGATGAGTTGGCTAAGAGGATGAAGTTCTCTGGGAAGTTTGAGGTCTCAAGTCTCTTTGCGAGGTGGGCTGATATGATGAAGAGTAGAGTATTGCGCAGGGATCCCAGCTGATAGTCAGTGCGGATACATTATCTATTTCATGTTCTCTATAATGCAGATAAGAGGATCACTAACCAACCAGTAGCACCTTTAACTATCAATGACAAAGGAATGTTATGTAAGGTCTGAATCATGAAAACTCATTCTTATTCCAGCTGTAAATCCCTTGTATTTCTTTTTGTATTTTTAGTATCATTAGGCTTCTTGGTAATTTAAGCATCTTTTCGCTCCTCTTATGTATTCTTTCCTCTCATTGGTGATTTTCATTCTCCTTTATAAGAACTGCATACAATTTTGATGCGCACCCCGTGGGCCCTATAGCAGCTTGCATAATTGCATTTGTACCTGCTTTCTTTTACTTCACCTCCTCGATGTTCGATCCCAGGGCTTGCCTGAGAAGCTTTATATTCTTGTGCAGTGGTACGTTTTCTGTACCTTCTAAAACAACAAAGGACTGAAATCATACCTTTCTTTCCAAGTTGCACTATGACAAAAAAAAGTCGCAAAGCTATATTTCAGTTGGAATCATACTGAAGTTGCTCTAAAAGGATCTCACATTTAATAAATTATAACAACAACAAAAAAGTAAAACACTAAGATTGTGGATGGAGGATTACTACATTGCAAGGAGATATGTGTAGCTGCTTGAGCAAGTCCTTCCTAAGTTTTTACAAATTTTGTCTAAAGAGAAATCGAAGGAAAGGAGAACTAGAACAAGGAAATGCCAGTTCGAGTCAGAAAGGCATTGATGACTCAAGGTTTATATAAGGGAAGGAGAATAAGAGGATGAACTATCGGTTTTGGCCCAATTATCCAATTTCTCCAATATCTCCAAATAGGCATGGTTCTATAGTCAAAGTAACTTCGTCACTTTCATGTACACATTGGATGGCAACTGTTCCTCAACCAAGTACATTGCCCCGAGGAAATACAAATTGCCCTGCCATTTTCCGTCCTTTATTTCTGCCCATATTAAATGAAAGAGAAAAAAATCTTAAAAATTCCCTTTCCTTTTCCATCTATTCTTTGGTTCCAAAGAGAGCATTTGGTAGTTTCTATTCATTTCCCTATATAAGCTGCCTACTCTTTCAGCGGGGAACATTTTAAGTTTTCAACTTGTAACAATATTTAAGTTGAATGTGAAGTTGGTATGATCAGGGAGTAGTCGTAGCTGTGTCTCTACTTGGATGTTAACTTATCTCATGAAAACTTCAGTTTATCCTCTGAAGCAAAGTTGTACAGAGTTCCATAGCTGATCAGAACTTGCAAAATATTTAAGTTGAATATGCAGTAGCCAGATTCTGTTGCACCATACATGGTTCATAAACAAATATCAATCTACTATGCGATCAGAGGTTGCACAAGCGGCAGTCAATAATGTGTTATGCTGGATTATACTAATCACTTAAGCACATGCTCACATATAGCAATGGAGCTGAGATCACATTAATATTTCTTTGCTGCTTTGGTTTGTTGTTTTATTTTTCTTTAATTTAGTACATTGAAGTAGTAGTGGTGGCTTCCTTTGTGAGATATACAAGAAAGGAGATTGATTCTATCGTATCTGTAAATGAATACATCCAATCTGCAATGTCGGAAAGATTGCTTTACTTTAGAGAAAGTGGGCAAATGCAAATAAAGGTTTTTGAAAAAGTAAAAAAGCACAGTCAACTCCGTTTCCCTTCAACAACTCTGTAATTGTTGTCTATGACAGTTTTAAGATACTACAGCTTCTCTCTCTCTCTCTTTTTTTTTTCTTTTTTGGTAAAGAAGAAATTTATTACTGATAAATAAATACTATGTAGTAGGTACATTTTTGGGTCTGTCCAGGGTACATACCCTGATGGCCATTAACAAAAGGACATACTATTACATAAATTGGCGAAGCATCATACAATATTAATCTCTCAAAACTATTAGTACTACCTTCAAGCTTCAACCCCCCCACCCCCTCCATGAAATAGATAGTATTGTTAGCACTACTAAATTTAGCTAGATCAGTTAAAGGATATAAAACTAACTTGAACAATCATCGATTATTGGAATAAAATAAGTTGATCCTACACAAATGTTTTTAGAAAAGGTACCAACAAGGGTTGTGGTGGAGCGGTAAGTAATCCTTTATCCTTAACCAGAGGTTTCGAATTCGAGCCTCTGGGTATGGAGTCGCCTTTGTTAGGGAGCGCTTTACCCCCAATGTGGGACTTCTCGGCGTGAATCCGAATTTAATCGATCTTCAATGTGAGTACCGGATACCGGACGGGAAACCAAAAAAGATAGTAGAAAAGCAACATAAAATTCTCTTCAACCCACTTAGGTGACCTTTCGTATTATCCGGGTTGTTTGATTAAACCTTATTATTGGAAATAATTTCGGTATTAGATTCTCCTGACCTATGCTGATTGAAAAAGATCTACTTGCTAAAAGTTCTCCTTGCTTAGTAGTTACTAATTTTCTCTTACTTTTTATTTTTTTAGAAATTATCTTCAGTTTATTTGATTTTCCCTAATTATTATTTTGCTTTCCTATGTCCATATTTTCTTGCTTTTGGAAAAACTTGAGAAGCCAGAGAGAGGAAGACATGGCGGCAAGGAGCATCACATACATTACTGGCTCTCAGCTTCTCTCTCTTAAACGCCGTCCTAACATCGCCATCGTCGACGTCAGGTCTTACAAACAAACTCTGTCACTCACATATTCTTTCAGATCTCTATTTTATGTCTATTTCTGCTAAACCCCCATATCCGATTGCTTTTGTTTTGGCCTCAAATTATTTGCAGGGATGATGAGAGGAGCTACGATGGTCACATAGCTGGCTCACTTCACTTTGCTAGCGATACTTTTCGTGATAAAATTCCCAGCCTTATTCAAGCTGCTAATGGCAAAGATACCCTTGTTTTTCACTGTGCTCTTAGCCAGGTTCAAATCTTGTTTCCTTACCTACTTTCTCATATTTGTTAAATAGCTCTTTCTTTTCTTATGTTGGGTTTTTCAGTTTTTGGTTAAAGATTCTATCTTTTGTTGGATTTTAATTCTATCTTGATCACTCTACAGTGTTTGCATCACATTGGCATGAGATGATTTAAATGGAGTAGTGTGGTCGGTGAGGATTCATATAGTCCGACCCAACTTGTTTGGGATTGAGGATAGTTATTGTTGCTTGATCACTCTACAGTTCCTTTTGGGTTCTGACTTATCTGCTGTTGATACATTTCTTTATGGAACTGCTAATGGCATCTTGAACTTATCCCAGACTAATCTTAGTTTCTAATCTATATTGTGGTTATTTGTCAACTCTCTTGGCATTTCTTTTGCCAGATTCAGTTTTTGGTTAAAGAGTGTTTCTGCACATCTCCTTATTGTTTTTCAGTTGATTGGTTTTTTAGGGGTTATCAGCTTGAATTTTGAATTGGCCAAAATTATGGAAAGCAGGGTGTTATAGGATTTCAACTACTACTAGTCAGATAAATAACTTCTAGTGTTATTGCTGTTTGTGGAACTAGAGATATCAAGATCAGTAAAGATACACAATGAAGCAGCGAAAGACTAATTAGAGAGTCTCACCTTGCTTTTCTTCCATAACTTAACATTTCCCGTAGTATCATTTATAATTCCACAGTCAATCTATATTAGTCAAACAATTTTTACAATTTGAGTTTTACCTTAATTTTTCCTTTCCTTTTACTTGTTATGATGAGTCGTACAGAGCAATTATAGCCTCTGATTTCCTTAGTTGCTTCTGCAAATCTTTTTTCTTTTGTTCCACCTATGGATGCTTTTCTTTGAGCTACTGTTAGAATAGACAATTCGGTAGCTTATACATATACTTCATGGCCAAAAATCTTTCTATGGTGTATTAGGTGCTCTATGGCTAAGATAACCACAGGGATAAGCACTTAGGCAGACACCCAACTCACATTCATGGTCTAGTTTAGATGCAAATCTTCGTTGAATTACATCCATGGTAAAGAAAAGATACACATAGTGAAACGTGAAATGACATCCATGGCCGCCAAATCAACATGTCATGGATGTTCTTATGAGTGTTGTATAGTAATTATTAGACTAAAAGTAATCATGCCACTGATATCATTGTCCATTGGTGAAAAGCACATTAGGCCTTAGTATAAACCTTCAAAACTTGGTTTTGTTTCTGGAATTGCTCCAAAGTAACAGTCCTTGTGTCCTCACAAATAGTCCAAGCTCTTTTTGTTTTTTCGGATAACGGTGGTGTTTGGGTCAGCTCGTGCGCTTTGATCAGTCCAAGGTTTAGGCAAATGTCAATAATTCTCCATGTGTCAGCTTTGTTGGAATCCGAAATTTGGTTTCGAAATTTATTATTCCAACTCTTTGACAGCTAAGCCCATCCCTTTAAGAATAGTCCAAGCTTTTAATGGTTGTTCAGATTGTTACTCTGCACTNGTTTAGGCAGATGTCAATAATTCTCCATGTGTCAGCTTTGTTGGAATCCGAAATTTGGTTTCGAAATTTTGTTATTCCAACTCTTTGACAGCTAACCCATCCCTTTAAGAATAGTCCAAGCTTTTAGCGGTTGTTCAGATTGTTACTCTGCACTATTAATCAACTTACAATTTTGGCATAGATCTGCAGTTTACTGTCAATGAGTTTTACCTACCACCAAAAGCTTTCACTCTTTGGTTAATAACAAATTAAGGACCTATTATTGTCCAAGTCCAACTTCAGATGTTCGCTTGACAGTCACTATATAATACATAGTTCTTCATGCTGTTGCTATTGCAGCATTCTCTCCTTGTAAAAACCTTCAGAGATGCTTCTGCTGCACAATTTTTTAAGTTCATTTGGAGGGTACAACTTCTAATAAGATATGCAACTCTCTGTTTTGCATCATTTAACCAATAACTTAAAACATGTGGGCGAGTTCCTTTCTTCTTCCAATAACATTCT